CCGTTCAAACCGCATCACCCCTTATTAGGATAGATAAACAAAAAAGATTATAATATATTGGACAGAAATCATGAATTATATAATAAAAAATGCAAAAGCACCAACCACCACCCCGAACAGTCGATTATGAGAAATCAGTACGTCTTTGGCCATCACGCGGGTCTGATCACGACCTCGAAACGCCGGGGTCGCAGACACCATAAATTGCCAAATTAGAAAATGTGATTGGGCTATCTGAGTGCGATTTCGAAAGCACCGACCCCACAGCCATAGTTCGTCGCCGGTTTCGAATACATCCAAAATTTACAGATCGGCGCGTGAGGTTTCTACCGCTCGGTCGGTGCACTTCATCACTCCAGCTGTGCGAGAAAATTCGCCGATTTGAAGTAGTCAGGGATCGGATCGTCCATTCGCGCGATGACCTTGTAAATCGACTTTTTCCACGACGGCTCGACGTCCCTTCCCGCCTGGACCGACACGAAGAACTCTCTCAAAGTCGCCTGAACGACGCGCCGGAAATTAGCCGGTACCTGAAATACCTCACCCGTAAATCTTGCACCTCATGATAGCCACCGCAGCCTGTTACCTGAAGATGGTTGTTGCGGTTGTAGTGCATGTTGAGAATTTTGTAAACTTCGGAATCACAGGTGACGTGGACGTCTTCGGCCGACTGCACCCCCTCTGCAATCGCCTGGCGGGCATACTTCTCCATCTGTATGTAATAGAACTCTCTAAACGTAACGAATTTCACTTGAGTCAGCTCATGGAACCATCGTTTTTACAACGCGTTCGACAAAAAGCTGTTTCAAGAAAACAAAAAACTTATACATATGCAATTCAGTGTTGGCCAGGCTACACTATTACACGGGAACACTGGCTGAGCCTGCCTTCGTAATTTGCTAATGCGATGCTGGCTTTTGTTTTGAAAGACCAGACTGAGGGGGGGGGCAAGGAAAATGAAAGCGCTGGCGCTGGGTGCTGAACGGTTAAAAATTACAAACACTGTATTTTCTAATAATTATTGTTACAGAACTGGAAGCAGATCTGTTAGTATATACCCTAGTTCATTCATACAGGAATTTTTTGCTGAAAATCTATGCAAGTGAAACACGTCGAACGACAATGCAAAACGAGAATGTAGAAATCGGCGATTTACTTCAGAAACAAAAACTCATTTCTAATAACCAAAATATGCAGTTACGAAAGGGAAAGAAAATTTGCTTATACTTTTATGACCGTAAATCGTCATCTTTGTGCCATCAGCCAGGAATGACTACATTGTCATTTGCTCAAAGCAATATCTAGAGCTCGGTGACAACTACAACAGGTAGTCCATAGGTCTTTCCTCACGAGGTGGTACAATCACTGAGGACAAATTTCCATACCTATGAAGGATTGAAGATGAGTAATTCGACCAGGGCCCGAAGCCATGACCTTTAGATTCTCAATCCGAAGCTTGGCCGACTGAACAATGCCAGCTGACGGTCTCTACGGAGGTATGCATAAATCAAAAGTGACGTGTCACTCTCACTGCCTTGCTCGATCACCGTGCCATTTAGCTTTGGACTGGATCGGTTTTTGGGAACTTAGTGAACTGTTATCATCAATGGCTAGGTCATGCAAAAATTCCAACAGTCTTAGCAGCAGCCCGACAAAGTTAAAGAGTACGCCAGATTCAGTAAAAATTTTTAATAAAGAAACGTAAGGCAGAAACAAAAAAAATCATTTTGAAACAAGGAACTAAGTTGTGCATGCAATTTGCTATAGTTTCTTTTGTATTTATTTCCACCTGCAATTGGGACACTGAAAATGGCTAAATTTAAATGGCCAGGTGAGCAGGCATCTGTCTGGCAGTTGCCGTCTTGCTTGGAAATGCTAAATCGAAACCGTAACTTTGCCACATGTAATTCCATGCTCCGACTGAGAAAGGAAGATGGCTGGAAACTTTACTTGCGCTGGCATTACCAAGCACCGTTTCATGAACATCCATCCTTTAATAAATTGGAAAGAACATATAGTCTATAATCTTGAATTTTGACTCCTTGCCTTACTATAAGGAGAACTAACTATGGTACTCTTCTTGCATGATATCTACCTTCGAGGAGTCGCGGTACTCAGGGACTCAGGACGAACTCAGGCGTAAGAACAACTGATGTTTATGGGTGAGGTAGCTCTAGAGAATATATATATCGATGAACGGTGCATTTGTCACTGCCTATGCTCAAATACGTAGGATCTGGTCAAAAATGGTCTTCACAGGCAACTAGGAGAACGGGGAGGTGCAACACGTCGTTAATCGGGTTTTGGAAGAGCCTTGCGCTATATGAAGCATATTTTGTTGACATGTTTCGATGCTCACGAAAACAATATATGCTGTGTGGCATACAAAACATGTATTGTCCATTTTGTTTCTTAATCATAATAGACCAAGAGATTCGGTCATCACACTAAGTATAACTTGGACATTTAAATCCTACGCATAAATGAAAATTGGTTTTGCTTGATCATTAAATTGTATGAGACTGTTTCTATTTTTTGCAGCTCTATGGCAAGATATTCGAGACAGTTAAACGTTTACTATGAACAACTCGGTATAACGTTACCTTCCTAGGGTACATTTGGATTAAAGGATAACAGTAAACTTTTTAAAGCAACAGTCAAGTGAAAATTAAAAAAAATTATACCTCGTTAACGCTTAAATTAAACAACCAACATAACAATTTTCGGTTGCGTTTATTAAATTAATCTTTCAGCACCAAATGAAATATACAATACTACACGTCGCTTTTCAGCTGACGAAGTTGTCAATCGATCATGCGCTAGAATGAGTCGTAAGTCGAATTAAATTTACATCAGAAACCAGGAAATACAGATAGTGGAACAAATTCCGCAGAAGTTCGTGTCAGGTCGGTCAGAACATAGGAAAAGGGGCTTCTAATTCGAGGGTCATGGGCACAAAATGAACTAAAAGACTATTATTAGCCAGCAACGCTTCCGAAAAAAAGATTAGCAACCATGATTACAAATCCTGAGACAAAGTACAATGTTTTTCATTGAGGCTGCTTTACAATCATTAAAACCGATTACTGTCACATGGTTGTGGGGCTTCAAGATTGACCAGCGAAGCTTCACATAAATAATTCGATTACTCAGTCATTTTGCGATCCTCAGAGAGGTAGACTTAAAGTCAGGTTGATAAATATGATCCTCAGGCCAGAGGAAAAGCGATACAGTGAAAACTTTGTCCATTTGAAAAAATACAGTAGTGACGATGACCCTGTGATTCACCAGACGAGGGCAACCATTAACCTTTCGTTTTCTTAGGCTGAACTAAATTAAAACGGGG